GCAGCGGCGGCCTTATCCATTGCGAGGCTCTGGGCGGCAGATCTTTGCGAGGCCCTTGTCCTTTGTGCAAAGTATGTGAATTGAAATAGTAGGCACTTATTAATATTAATATATACTGTACTATAAATTAAATTTATTTTATTGTTATAACTAATAGCCAAGGATAAAATAAAAAGTTTTAAATATCAACTTTTTTCTACTTGGTTGTTGCGCGAGGCCCCTCCAAGAGCGAGGCCCCGGGCGATTGCCCTGCTCGCCACCCCCTAAGACCGCCACTGCTTCGAAGTATACTAAAGGATCGTTCTATGGTCGCCATAGTGCATAGAATAGTTCTTGAAATTGTAGGGCAGAGGGCGCCACCGCTTGACCTTTCCCCTCTGACCTCATTTGGTCCTCGGACACCAATCTGGAGAGACGCTTTCGTACGCCGACCTTCGCTTTTGTTACGCCAATCTTTCGGAGTCAGCTTCGACGACGAACACATATTTGTACAGTTATTCAACTTAGGCCTTTGTAAATAGTCCGTAGTCGCGGGGAAATAAAATATGGTATTTCCAAGGAATCAGTCTCCTCATTAATCTTGTCTGACGAACAAAGGACGTGGAACACATGGGCGAGATCAGAACTACTATCACACGAGGTCGGATCAAATTCAGACCTATTCTATCGAAACGCCTCGACGGATTTTAGCTCCATCGCTAAAAAATTATGAATGATTTTCTTATGACAGGAAAAAATATTAGTTTCGTTAAACAGGTCAACGACTTCTATATCCCTTTATTTGTCTTCTGGTAAATTCTTCTTCATCCACAAATTATAACAAAGGTCCAATTCTCTGGTGACATCATCCAACTCATAAAAATTTGTATCATATCATGAACTTTTGCAGCTTTAACAGGTTCTTGAACATCATACCATCTATCAATAGGAGCAACTAAGTTTGGTGTCATTATTCCATAATATGTAAAAACTGTTTCCATTAAACTTTCTGGCTTGAATTTCATATTTAAGGTGCTCATTATACTGTTACATTCTCTTTCTTATTTTTATTAAAGAAATAAATTTAATTAAACTACAGAATGACTAATTTTTTCACACTTGCTTATATGCTTGGATTTGCTTATATGATTCTGTTACTACCAGATGGTAACTGGGCAATTCAATAAGTTCTAGACACCATACCTTGATTTGTCTTAGAATTTCAACACATCCTGGGCAGCACTGAATGGAAATTTTAGTCTACCTTATACACACATGATGCAGATTATCTTAGAGATTCAATTTTACTCATAAAGTGGACTTTGTCCCTTTTTTGAGTTGGTAGATTCAATTATATTTATCAGCCTTTTTCATTTTGAATTAAATATTTCAAAATATCAAAGTATTTATAAAATTAAAACTTGAAACAGAACAGAGATTTCTGAACTTTTTTTACCTGTCAAAATACTCATAATTGTTGTTTTACCAGCTCCATTGGGACCTAAAAGTACTGTTATTTGATCAGCATGCAAATTTAGTGATACATCTTTTATTGCTGTCTTGAATTTCCAACAATTCCTAAATTTCTATAATAAAAAAGAAATACAGTAAAACCTCACTTTATGGCCACTCCAAAAATTCCTCTGTAAAACTACATAAATTTTAATATAAATGAAACTTCATCTTGGTGATCACTGTTCACTTCATTTAAGTAATTAAGATAAGTGCAGGGCTGTTGAGAGGGGAATCTGAAGATTTTTCCTCAGTCCTAGAAAAAATTTAGGGGCCTATAGGTACTCCTACCCCTATAAATTAATGTTATTTTTAATAACAAAAATAAAAATTGTTTAAGTAAGACTAATTTTTTTTAATTAATAAAAAAACATTGTCTGCATTTCATTAGTTCAAAAAAAAAGAAAGAAAGAAAAAAAAGAAGACCCCAAGGTGCTAAAGAACCTGCTCTATCCCATATCTCATACAAGCTTGCAACAGTCCTGAGGAATTGGTCTAAAGTGATATTTATCTCCCTTTAAATGGACAACAGAATAAGAAAATCCAAATCCAATGCTTCTAAACTCAACATATTTTTTTAAATACTTTAAATATAACTGAGTTTTGTTGTTATAGTTTTTGGAACAGTTTGAAGTTTCCTCCTATAAAGGACACTCAAATAAAATCATCTTTATTTACACTGAACAAATTAAATTTATCTCTACAATTTAGTAAGAAGAAAGACAACTATATATTTGTTCAATAATTTTATACAAAATCTGATTGTATTTTGCAAAAATATAACTAAGTTAACAATGATCACTCTAGATCACTGATATGTCACTTGCAACACTCAATGAAGAAAAATATCAGTGAGCCTGTTTTAAATGCTAGTTTAATTATTAACACTTTTTTCAACACTTAAGCACTTCTTCATATCTAGTGACTTCTGTTTAATGACTTCTTTTGTGAATTTTTTAGTTAAATACAATTTTAAATAAAACTTTTAATCACCATTTCTTAAACATATTGATTTTATCTATGGGTACTAAATATTCCATTTGGTACTGTACTGTACAATACTTAAATGAATCCTAATGCAAAGTAAACTACTCTGTGAAAGTTTGATATATATATTATCTTTTTGCCCTGTGGACACTAAAAGAGCCTCTTTATGACCAGTCCATTATCGATTCAGCCAGGCCCACAACAGCATGAGCAAGCTGCGAGGGATAGGGTCCAAGCCCAACACATCTTGATGGACCATCCTGAGAAAGAGCTGGATTTTTTAGATTCATCTGAATTTGATCCCAGATCCATCACAGTGATAGCCTGCCACCTGAACCACTCAGTCATCTGGCCATCAGGATACAATATTATACAATATTGTATACATAACATATATTTATTTTATTTATTTTTACAATCTGTATTAGACTTTTACAGTATTCTCATTACAGTTCTGTATATCAATTTTTCATAACCCCAATTAGGTGACCCCTTACAGCCAGAAATTGTATATTCCAAAGGAGACCACACAGATGAGTTTTTACTGTATAAAATATGATAAAATGGATTTAACACTAATTGTTGCCTTTAGATTATAACAAAACTTAAAAACTTTTAAAAAAACTAAAAATATTGATTTTTATTCCTTTATCTGCCTTATATCAGAGACAAAAAACTTACACCAAAGACATTCAGAACAAAAAGACAATTCATTTATTTTTCTAAATCGAGCTATGCATTCAGGTAAGATTTTTATATAACATTTCACCCCTCTTCAGGCTATAAAGTAAAAATATAGAAGTTTAGAGTTTATATTGATGCTTTTGTTTTTTGTAAATTTTCTTTGATATGAAAAAATAATATATAATAAAATTGAAGACAAAGTCTGCCCAAAGAGGACCACCATTTATTTTCTCTGTATTCCAGACTATACATGTTCTTGGCAACTGACCTTTCTTTATAGGCTACTTGTTGCCAGAAGTTAAAAAAATCCTTTTAAAAAACACAAAATATATCCAATTAAAATTACAAGTAATTTCTAAAAAAGGAACTGGTGACATACAGATGTCTTGCTTGCATCCATCCATACCTTCTTTGGGGTGTTACTGCTTTTATCTACTAGAAACAGGCACTGGAAAATGCAGATTTTAAAAAAGCTGCTCCCTGATGATGATACATGTAGAATTTTCATGTGTAAATTTTCATTCGATGGAGATTATTATTTAATAAAATTGAAGACAAAGCCTGCCCAAAAGGGACCACATTTATTTTCTCTGTGTTCCAAACTATACATGTTAAAGCAGTAACACTTCCGAAGAAGGTATGGGTGGATGCAAGAAAGACGTCTGTATGTCACCAGTTCCTTTTTTAAAATTACTTGTAATTTTAATTTGATATATTTTGTTTTTTTTTAAAAAGAACATTTTTTAACTTCTGGTGACAAGTAGCCTATAAAGAAAGGTCAGTTGCCAAGAACATGTATAGTCTGGAACACAGAGGAAATAAATGGTGGTCCCTTTTAGGCAGACTTTGTCTTCAATTTTATTAAATAATCTCCATAGGATGAAAATTTACAGATGAAAAAATAAGATGAATTACAAATTTTCCACTTGCACAGTACATCTTCAATTAATTGACATTCCTTTTTTGTGTGCTTTTATCTTGCACAATATCCAACTACATTAAAATCCTCTATAAAGAGAAAGACATGTATTTATATAGGTTTAAAGAACATGTGACAATTATACATGCAAATAATTCCATTAATTTAAATAATGGAATCGAAATAGAGGGTGCATGGTTGGATATCATGTGAGAAAATCTCACACGAAGAAAGAATGACAGTTAATTGATGATGTACAAGCAGAAAACTTGTAATTCATCTTATTCTTTTCGTATCAAAGAAACAGATCAGTTGTAAGTTTATATTGGTGCTCTCGTCTTTTGTAAACTCTAAAATTATATATTTTTATTTTACAGCCAGAAGAGGGGTGAAATGTTGTATAAAAAACTTACCTGACATGCATAGCTTGATTTAGAAAAATAAATGATTGTCTTTTTGTTTTGAGTGTCCTTGGTGCAAGTTCTTTGTCTCTAATATAAGGCAGATAAAAGGATAAAAAGAAAAATCAATCAAATTTTTAGTTTTTTAAAAAGTTTTTAAGTTTGGTTTTAGGCTAAAAGCAACAAATAGCTTTTACTGTTTTAAATCATTGTAAACATTATACAGTCAATCCCCCCTATAACACTGTTGATAATTCTGTTTTATATGAATTCCACGTTGTACGAGTCACTTAGATTTTACAAATACGTAAGCCATTCACAGCCCGGCACATGTATTTGTAAAATCTAAGTGACTCGTACAACATGGAATTCATATAAAATGGAATTATCAACAGTGTTATGGGGGGGTCGACTGTAATAAATTTAATATCAACAATGAAATTAAATTACAAATAACTGTTACACAGACAATTAAATTATTCTGTTACAAAACTTTAACAACAGAATAAACTGAAAACGTAATAAATAAATAGGTGTATTCATTTATGTGCAAAGAATTTTCTTTCCTCCATATCCACATATAGAGACAAATAAAAAAATCTTGCAATACAATTAAATATAAAGTGATCTTCAAAATAATAAAAGAATCTGGTATCAAAATGAAATTCTATAAGCTTGTTAATATAGAGTTTTATCACAGGATTTCATTATATTTGTGAATTATAGTTCAAATAAAGCATTTGTTTCATTTCATTATATATGTTTTGGAAGCAATTATTATTGTAAAATGTATAAAAAAATTTTTGTACCTTTGTTAGATGAGAAATAATGACAGTACGTTTTGATCCTTTTGGTTCTTTTTCAAAGTAAGGTGATGAGAAATTTTCTATTTCTGCACATTCTTTAGTTTCATTATAGCAACTTGACCAATATGATGGCTAAAAATTATCATAATACAGTTAAAACTATAAATTAATATTTATTCAAATTTCTATTTAATAATAAATTCATACAGATTTGATATAAAATAATAAAGTATTAGATAGATATATTATAATTTATATTTAAATTTTATATCGGATAAACTGCTACTAAGTTATGATTTCATTATTTCAAATTATTGTATAATAATATATCTTTGATACATAATAAAACAATTTAAATATCAAGAGATAAGTNAAATAAAAAAAAAAAAAAAAAAAAAAAAAAAACGGAAGTTACAAAATAAAAAAAAAAAACACGTACGGAAAACAAACATTACACAAGAAAGGTATATAAATACAAACGCCTAAACCAAGAACAATAGTGACGCAGCACTACATATCTCCCCCCTTAAAATTATTACCGAAATGCAATTTCCTAAAATCAATTCTCTTTCCTCTCAGGTTGTATGGTCGTTCCTTACTGATATCTCCGTTAGATGGATTATGAGGTATATCATTATTTTTTCTACCCCTCTCCCTAACACCTTGTTCCCCAAATATACGTCGATCGGGACATTCTTCATCATCCTCCAATTCAGTATCTCTTACTTTCCTCACACGAGGTTTTCTTCTCCCTTCGGGCCTTATCCATCCGTAACATAATTTGAGTCGATCCACATGCACGGTCTCAACGTCTCTCTTTCTACACCCTTCGACTCGATAAGTAGTGGGGTTCACAATCTTGGTAATGCGAAAGGGGCCTAAGTAGTTCGGAGCAAACTTATCTCTCTTCGTTCCCTTCCTCCTTACCCAAACCTTTTGCCCTTCGCTGAATTTTAACAGTTTTCTTCCTTTATTATAATAGTCACGGTTTTTCTTGTGACGATAGTCCGCTTGCATACCAGCCGATTCACGTAGATTGCGCAACTTCGTGATAATGTAAGATCTACGTTCATCCGAGGTCATAGCAGTTGGTGCGACTCCAAGGTCGGGTGTGCGTGGGTCCATACCAAATAATAGGAAGGCGGGTGAGTCATTAACAGAGGAATGGTGTGTATTGTTGTATGCGAAGCATGCAGATGGGATGAGATCATCCCATTCGACATTCTCCTCATTTGATGCCTTGGCAATGATGCCAATGAGGGACTTATTGGCTCGCTCGCACATGCCATTAGCACATGGACGGTAAGCCGTTGTTATATTCCGTCTTATTCCTAGCCACTTACAACAGTCGCTGAATAAGGATGATAGGAAGTTTGTCCCACGGTCTGATATTATCACTTCAGGGACACCATACCTGCATATTACTTCATCAAAGATAACGTTGCTAACGCTCCAAGCGGTCTGGTCCTTAAGTGGGAAGGCCTCGAGAAACCGCGTGCACACGTCGATTACAACTAAGATGAAACGATGTTCCCGCCTTGTCACCTTTACGGGACCAATTATATCAATCGCTATTTTCTGGAAGGGAACATCTGCCCCTTCATTTTTTTGTATTGGAGCCTTGCCTCTATGCAGGTTGTATCTTTGACATTTATGGCACCGTTTCACCACCTCCTCGGTCACTTTTCGTAAATCTCTTACAAAATAATTCTTCTCCACATTCCTCATCGTTTTCAAAACACCCCAGTGGCCATACAATTGATGTTCGTGAATGGCTGTAACCAGTTCCGTAGCAAGTTCGTTTCCTACACAGATCTTGTCTGCGTGCTGGTTCCGCCCCCTCTGAAATATTCTTTTATACAAACAATCGTTAAAAATCCGATACTCGTTAAAACTTTCATTTGAGTCGTTGCCCCTCATCATATCTCTCTTTATTGGACCAAAAATGCTATCACTATCTTGCGACTTGCTTATCTCATCTCTGCTGGGAATCCCCTTATCTATCGTCCTGACATCCATATGGTTAATACCGTTTATATTACGGGAAAGGAAGTCAGCTACCTTATTGTCCACACCTTTCACGTGATTTACCTCTATATCATGATCCATTAGCTCCATCACCCATCTTATTAAGCGTCGATTCCCATTTTGTATGTTGCTCAGAAAGACGAGAGGCTTGTGATCAGATAATATGATGGTCTTCCGTCCTAATATCAGGTGTCTAAAATGTCTTAAGGCCATGACCATAGCTAAACATTCCTTTTCTATGGTGGAGTAGTGGAGCTCTGCACCTTGGAACCTCCTACTATAATAACCAAGAGGAACAAGGTTATCGCCATTCCTTTGCTCCAAGACAGCAGCTGCGGCATGGTCTGAAGCATCGGTATGTAAGTAGAAGTCTTTATTAAAATCAGGATGTGCAAGAATTGGCGGGCGGGAGATAACCTTCTTCAAATGCTCGAAACTATTCTGGCATTTCTCACTCCAGCTAAACCTTTTATTTCTTTTTGTCAACTCAGTCAAAGGTGCAGCAAGCTTAGAAAAGGATGGGATGAAGCTCCGGAAAAACCCCACTACTCCCAAAAAGCTCCGCACCTCCTTGACACTATTAGGGGCCTTGATGTTTTTTATGGATTCAATATTCACGGGGTCGGGCATTATCCCTTCCTTGCTAATCACATGCCCCAAATATTTCACTTGTCGTGCTAAGATCTGGCACTTATCAGGATTCAGTTTAAGGCCTTCCTCCTTTAGGGTATTAATGACTTTATCAAGTAGGTCCAAATGATCGTCTAAAGTTTTTGAAAATAAAACGACATCATCCTGAAAAACGAAACAACAGTTTCCAATAAATCTAGCCAGGACCTTCGTCATCACAAACTGGAAATACCTCCCGCTATTCTTTCCTCCTTGCGGCATCCTACACAACTGGTACTTTCCCCACGGTGTGGAGAAAGCGAACACATGCCTTATCTCATGGGCAAGGGGGATTTGAAAGTACCCAGCTTTTAGGTCCAGAACGGAGAAGAAGATATTTCCTTCCAGCTGAGAAAGAATGTCATCAATCCTGGTCATTGGAAATATTTGCGGTTCCGTGATATCGTTTATCTTGCGAAGATCTAATGTTAACCTAATTTCCCCGGACTCTTTCGGAACAACGTGCAACGGAGAGTTCCACACCGAAGAGCTCTCCTCGCAAATACCCGCCTCTACCAGTTCTCTGATCTTCTCCTTTAAGGGCGGTAGATAGCTATAAGGAATGCGATACTGCTTAGTATTGATTGGGTGATCGGAAGTTAATTTAACATGGTGCACATAACTCTTGGATCCAGATATCTCGGTGACCTTTCTGGCAATGGCCTCATGATGGGCGCCCAATATATTTAATACCCTCTCCTTGACCTCACCATCTAAGTGGTCCAATTTCCATACAGACAGGTCATTGTCAACGATCTTATTAATATTTGTGGACAAATTAAGGGTACCCTTCACCTTACTACTCCTTATTGCAGGGAGCAAACCCGCCAGGAGTTCGGGGTTGTGACTAATGATATCCATACCAATAATTAAGTCATAAGGCGCACTACTCGGAAATTTTATGATAGGAATGTTGATCTCAATCTCATTGCTCTCGGATAAGATACATCTAGTTGCTACAGCCTCATTGCTTTGAATGATAGCACCGGACATCCCACTTATATATGAATCATTGCGTACCACGCATTTCCTATTCCTCACATTAATCCGTTCCATAATCTCGTTTCTTACCACGGTCCTCTCTGCACCTGTATCAATTAGGCCTTGCACTTCACAATCAAAAAAATTCCCTTTAATAATCGGTAGACCACGCTCGGTTAAGTATATACCCTTGGTCAGAGTAAGTTGTGTGAGCCGGTCATCAGCCTGACCCTCCAGATGACCGTTCTTTAGTTTAAATCCTTTCGCTGCTCGCAGCTCCTGGCCATGTGTCCAATTTTACCACATGCGTAGCACCTCCGTCTCTCACCCCTAACATTGACCGGGGTTCTAATCCCTCTGACGAATTCACCCAATTCTTTCATGGATTCCGTTAATTGTTTCATCTGCATCTCTAGCTCACGGACTCTCGGGTTTTCGTCCTTTGGTTCACTCCCCTGTTCAAAATTCGTGCATATCTCGCTTAAGGCTAACCCCTTTTCGCAAGCGTTCTCTATCTCTTCTTCACCCTCAGCCTTCGAGATAGCTTCGTCCAAGGTAGCCGGCCGTCCTTGCATAACCCGTTTTCGAATCTCCGGGACTAATCCTTTCATAAAACACTCTTTCACGCAATTATCCCGCAACGTTGCCAGACTAGGATTTCGTGTCATGGCTCTGGAAAACAATGTCTTAATGCGGCTTCCATATTCATATACACTTTCACCTCTTTTCTGGCTAACCTTAAGGACTAAACTAAATTGACTTTGCCCCTTCTCCTTATGGCCAAAACACTTTATGAGGGCCTCCTTTATTTCACTATAGCTAACTACGCCTTGCTCTCTCAGATCAAAAAAAATAGATAGAGGCTCACCTTTCAGTCTTGCTTGCATTACGGATATTTTTACTTTCTCGTCCCATTTCGCAAGTGAGGCTACATTCTCGACCGTTAGAAGAAATCGGTGTATGTCCAAGGTATCACCTGGTAGGTTGGAGAAACAAGGGATCATTCCCATGAATCCCGTCACTATTGGTACACCTTCAGGTTCCTCCATTACACGTGCTTGTGTTCCGCTTGTTACTTGTTCTTCCATCCCAATGTTCACACAGACGTTAATACTAAATTCTTACAATCTATGACTAAAATTAACCGATTACAACAATAATTCTTAAGGTCTAAACGATATATTCCTTAGCCAATAAGTATATATACATTATGTTTACAAGTTATACATACTATCATAATATAATCCTCTTACAAACTTATCCCTTTTACCCGTAACAGACAAATCCTGTCGCGGACGCCAATGTAGTAATCCAGGGGCACCGAGGTTACTCTAGACAAAGAGTTGGGTAAAAGACTACTGTTACTCGAGGATTTTATATGAGACAAACGACATGTATCAATAATAAGGAAATNTCTCTGTCCATGCTGGAAAATAATGGCACAATAA